CCCTAGGTTCGACTACGAAAGGCTGGAACCTAAGACCACGTATTACATCATGAGGGACCTGGAGGCCCTGGTCACGGACAAGTCCTTCATTGGCCAGCAGTTTGCCGTGGGAACCCACGTCTACAGCGTGGCGAAGACTGACAGCTTCGAATACGTGGACCCCGTGGATGGCACTGTGACCAAGAAACAGGTACCTCCTGGGTGGGACTTGCAGGTGGGGCAAGTAGCACATGACACTCAAGGCTCCTTGGTTGTACAGGTGGTCTCCTTGGGCCCCTGGTCTTACAGGTGAGATAGATAGGTTGGAGGCTGTGGGCAAGGCCATTATGCAATCCAGTGGCAGAGCAGGGATTAGAACATGGGGCCTGACTCACTTTCAACATCTGTCCCATTTGGTAGAAAAGCAGCAGTCCAGAAACCCTGGCAGCTGCAAGGCTTCCTTCTTAAGCAGTGGTTCCCTGAAGGTGGGTGCTGGAATGATCCTGGGGTGCGGTGCAAAAGCAGATGCCTACACTTTATCCTGGACCGTGGGCTAGAGTACAGCGTTTTCAGTTCCCATGGGGATGCTGACTCTTTTGTTTGTGAGCTTCATGAAAGGGGGGCAGGAGGCCAGCTAAGCTTGGGAACCTACAGTCTGAAGGGTTTGCAGCCGGCAGGCTGTCCGAGGACGTGGCCACAGAAGCCTTCACCAGAGCAGAGCCCCTGTCCTCAGGGACCCCAGGAGCAGGTGTCTCGCCTGCTCTCATTGAAGGTCCCCAGGAACCCGGGTCTCTGGGTTTGTTACTCTCACAGGGACGAGACAGTTGCAAAACCCACCCCTACATCTGTAGAGCTGAGAGCTATTGTCATCGATAAGTGACGACGAAATCAGCCACAGTGTCCCCCACGGCCTCATCTTTGTGGTTCGTGTACGAGACTGGACAGCCAGCTCATTCTTGTTCTCTGTTCTGAGCAATTCCGACCCTTCTGGAAGAAGGTCCCTATGGGCGGGGATTGACTCGATGGCCCTGAGTTTGGCCTTTGGTGACTGAAGCACATTTGACAATCGGGCCATCCCACGTGATGTCAAGAGAAGTTCTGTTCCAGACCCCTCCCCCACCCTCTGCCAAGACTTTGTCTTAAGTGCTTAGTCAAATACAGGTGATCAAACCAGCCATGAATGACAGGCCCTTGGGGCCTGGGCTTCTGGTACGGATGCTGGTGGTGGTTGGTGAGCTGGCGCCAGCTCACGGCAGCTGCAGAGATGCCTAAGGACACAGGGCTGCCCTTGCCCTTGCTCTATCCTCATCTCCAAGGTCAAGCAGCGCCGGCGATCATCCTGGTTCTCACTGGTCCTCTGCTTTCCCACCGCGATGTCCCTCTCGTGCGGGGGGGCTCTTTCCTGATGACATGTCCGAAGCCAGCTGCAAAGTCACCATCCTCGAGTCAAGGGGCGCTCTGCTTGTGTTTCCTCGTGTCCTTTCCTCTGGCCAACTGGAAACCCTGCCGTCCACCCAGTCCCACTCACAGCAACCCTCTAGGACAGGGGAGCGCTGCGCC